GTCAGCAGAGGCTGGGAAAGGAGGGGGGTCCTGCTCTGATAGCTCCCTTTTAAATGGAGGTGATGGAGTCCAAACAGAAGGGAATAGCTCTTAGCTGCTGCTGCCCAGTGCCAGTTGTTCAGTATCATCATCATTAATTTGCATGAAACGAATTGATACGAACGACGGGCACTATCCAAGTATCCACACCCCACAGTCACTGTTTGTAAAACAGGAGTTTGCTTCAGCCTGCACCTGGATGTCCCGTGCCCAAGACCTCTTGATGTTCCCCTCCCTCAGGGCTTGCCTACACTACGGAGAAGATCAACACTGCCGCAGTCTATCTTCTGGGGTTTGAATTAGCGGGTCTAGTGAAGACACACTAATTTGCACGGAGAGAGCACTCCCATCGGCACCAGTAGTCCTGCTCCTCACGAGGAGTAAGGGAAGTCGACAGGTGCATGTGCTCCCATTAACCTCCCGCTGTGTGGGCAGCGTAGAAACTCGATATAAGATACTTCAAGGCCAGCTACATAATTAACGTAACTGGAGTTGTGTATTGTAAGTCGACTTTCCCCTTTAGTGTAGACCAGGCCTCACTATGCTCATCAAGCACTGATCTCTACTAAGACCCTCTGCCACGACGCAGTCGGGGTTCCCCCATTCCTGCAGCCCCGTAGCAGCAAGCCCAGACTCCGCCAGTCGTAGAATAGAGAGGGGTTTATTGTTCCTTCAGGATATAGCCCAGCACATATGTGATGTGGCTACAGGGCCCAGGGCCAGGATGCCTCAGACCCTAGGGTTAGGGGTCCATCGCCCCTAGGCCCTCAGCTTAGCCTCTTCTCTCCATGCTTCCCAGACAGCAACTAACCCTTCCTCCCAGCCCTGACCGCCTCTCTGCCTTCCTCCATTTCTCTCTCTCCCTGGGAGGCTGAGCCTAGGTGTCTGGGTTAATACACATTTGGGAGAGTCAGTGAGAATCTCCCACCCCAGTGCAGGGAGACCCCCCCACTATGCCACACCCTCTGTGAGAGCCTTTTTAATCCTGTTCCTCTCCTCTGCAGCACCTACCATCTGGAGGAGCTTGGGTGTGTCTCAGTGCCTGATCAACCTGCTATCTCTTTTCAAACCCCAGCTGTCCATTTGTTTTTCTCTGGCCTCAGCTAGGTTTCTGTCTCATGCACCTACTACATGTTGTTTCATACTGCAGTTGTATGATTTACAATATCTTTGTAACGGTTCTTATCAGCCTCTTGTAACTATTTAGTCTTTAAGGTGCTACTAGACTATTTGTTTTTTAAGTTTTTTCCTGTTACAGACTAACTCGGCTACCCCTCTGAAGCTTATCTGCTCACTGTCTCTTTTTTCTTCCTCCTCTCCATTTTTTTCCTTCTTCCCCTCTCCTCCCCCCTATTTATTCTTGGATCTGGACTTCCAGCACTCCTGTCATTTGAAGAAGTGGGTTTTGCTCACGATACCATCTATATGTTTTGTTAGTCTTTAAGGTGCTACTAGACTATTGGTTGTTTTTTAATATCTTTGTACAGCATTATAGTGTAAAAGTTTGTAGGAAATTAAGCTATACTGTTAATTAAAAAAACTAGACTACACGCCCACATAACTGATTGCAATGGCGCCATTAGCAAATGGGCCCCACCATCATAGCTCTCTGTGCCCCTCTGGTGGTGGCTGCGCTATTCACAGAGGTTGGTGAAATGGCTGTAGCTGTAAGTAAGAAGCCTCTGAGGCAGTAGAGACTGGCTTGTTAAGATGCAGAGGTCATTGAATCGCGATCCCTGCTGCCAGCGACTCACCCCGTGGGGTGGCATTACTCAAATAGGCCAAACTCTCAATCAGCCAGGCACTAGCCACTCAGCCCAGAAGATCTTCCAGCCTCTGATGGGGGATCCTGACTGGCGTGTTTGGGAGGTTCTCAAGTGCCCCACCCCCCACTGCTGTGCTTTTCCTGCCCTCTTCCTGGGACCTTCCCTTTCCCTCCCTCAGGTGCCTCCTGCTTCCTGTGCAGGGTGGGGAAGGCAGAGGAGGGGGCAATAATGTCAGTGTTCCCCTCCCCCACCCGCACCCCATCTCCATGGGGGAGACGGAGACACAGCAGGGCTCAGGATGAAGGGAGCTTCTGGCAGCTGCTCCTATGTCTGAATGCGCTCAGCATACTTACACGGGCAATGGAAATGACTGCTATGCTCACACACTGGGTGTGTCGCAGTCACTCACATAAACGCCCTATCTTTCCTCCTGACCCACACACACACACCTGTGTGGTGGTGGTTGTTACTGCTTTCAAAGTGTGTTATTTTAGGTTTTCAACGGGTTTGTGCATTTCATAGTTTTTATTTCTTTCTTACGTGTAAATTTAATTCTTTGAGTATTTGGGGTTCTACTGGTGGTACACATCTGCATGTGACTTTGATATTGGTGCACATAACAAAAGATAACAGAGAATGAGAATAGTGATAGAGATGTAGCCGTGTTAGTCTGGGGTAGTTGAAGCAAAATGCAGGACAATGAGATGCTCTCTAATTTTTTCCATCCATGAGCAGACCACTGGCCGGGAGCCTCCTGGAATTGGTTTTGATCTCCTGGAGGCTCCTGCAGCCAAATCAGGAGATCAGACACTCACAGTCCAGCAGTGCAGCGGGGCTAAGGCAGACTCCCCCCTGTCCTGACCCTGCACCAATCCTGGAAGCAGCTGGCAAGTCTCTGTGGCCTCTTTCCTGCAGGCACCACCCCCACAGCTCCCATTGGCTAGGAATGGGGAACCACGGGAAATGGGAGGTGTGGGGTCAGTGCCTGTAGACTGGGGGTTTGGGTGACCTGCAGAGCCACCTGCCCCTCGCCCCTGGAGCCATTGCTGGACATGCCAGCTCCTTTTGGGAGTGGCACAGGGCCAGGGCAGGGGTGAGCCTGACTTAGCCCTCCTGTGCCACCATCTGGGAGCTGCAGGAAGAAAGCAGTGCCCAGCCAGAGCCCACATCCTGAACCTCTGCTCCAACCCTGAGCCTCTCTTGCTCCCAAACTCCCTCCCAGAGCCTGCACCTTGAACCTCCTCCTGTACCCCAATGCCCTGCCCCAAGCTCAGCCTGGAGCTCCTGCCACAGTCTAAGTCCCTCAGTCCAAGACCAGAGCCTGCACCCCAACCTCCTGCTGCAGCCTGGTGAAAGTGAGTGAGGATGGGGAAAGGGAAGAGGAGGGCGTGTGCAAGGTGGTGCCTCAGAGAAGGGGTGGGACGGGGTGTGGCCTTGAAGAAAGTGCACGGAAGGAGTCAGAGCAAAGGAACTTGGGTTTGAAGTAGGTTGTGGATTGCACTTAAATTTAAAAAAAAAGGATCTTGTGCTTGAAAAGGCTGGAGCCCACTGGGCTACAAATACATTACCGGAGTAAGTCATTTTAAGCTGTGCAACTACAGGTACGTGAATAATACAGCTAGAGTCGCCATGCCTTAGTTGCTTTAACCCATCCCCAAGAGAAAGCATCCAGGGCTCTTAACCCAGCATTTTCAACCATTTAATTTCTCCCTCCCAATTGCTCCCTTTAGTACAAATGAAATTCTGCACTCACCATGAGCCAGTGAAAAGCAACCCAAACATCAAAGCAGATTTTTTGCATGCCGAATAAATACTTATAAAAAAATGTAATAGGCACTTTCCCCATACCCTGGATCTAGAGGGTCTACTATTGTAAATGCTGAAAAAGAGCAGAAACATCTGAAATACCATCTTGTAAATGCTGAAAAAGAGCAGAAACAACTGAAATACTCAAATACTTGGGAGAAGGTCTCCTACTGTACTCCAGGAGGTGGTGGTGGTTTTGTTTTTAAAATTAGGAACAATATGAAAATGGAAACTTTGTTGCTTAAATCCATCTACACCTGCTGCTTCTCCCCATTCCGGTAGGCACACAGCCAAGTTCCCAGCTGCTATCAATTGGTGAAACCGGGAGAGCTGTATTGATTTACACCAGCTGTGGATTGGGCTGTCAGATTCAGGGTCATAGTTCATTCCCTAGCAAATAGCAGTGGGGTTGCCAGCAGAAGAGACGGCTTCAGATACGTATGGTTTGTGAGAAGCTCTACCCCAAACTTTGGTTCTATGTCAGTGCATTTTGTTGCAATGTTATCATATTCCTCAGCTGCCGCCCATTTCTCCTGAGAGCCAGTAAAAGCTGGACCTCTCTAATCTGGCACTCTGCTCTGGCAACATCTGTGGTTCAGCATGATATTAGTTAGCTGGATGTCCACTTATCGTGGGTGTGCCCAAGTTTCACATGGTCCCATAAAGTTTGTTTACAGCCACCAGTCCTGGCTCTCAGTGCTCTATGCTGTTACTTAGCTCTAATTTATCTCCCAAATGACTTATCAAAGCCCAGTAAGTAGTGGAAGTGCTGGTGATGCTGCTAGACAATATTGATCTCCCATGGTTGGCAAATTCTCTGGTTTGGCACCGGGCAGGTCCCAAGGGTGTCAGACTAGAAAGGTTCAATCTGTAAGAACACAGAATCTTCTGGAATTAAATGGAACCACAGAGCTCCAGAGTTTCGGTACCATGGGAG